CATTGGCTTAAAAGGAGATTTGGAGCTGGAGTGGGATGGGCTTTGGGGCCATGGGTTGTGATGGGCAACTAGATCACCTGCCATTTCCTCATAATCTTTTAAAAATTAGTTATTTTACAGTTGTTTTCTGTTGATGTCTACAAAATAATATGACTGTTTCTTTCATTACAAGCTTCATCTTTAGACCTAAGGAGGAGAGTGTGAAATTCAGGTGCAAATATTATTCCGGATCTTTCTCAGGGTGTGTTGATATCATTCTGTTGGCCTTTTTTTCTTTTTCAGTCAGTCCTTACTTAAGGGTCTGCCTTTCCTGGACTTGGCTTCTTAGCCCTCTCTCTCTAGTCCACCTGCTGTTTAACTGAGAACCTTACCCTCCCAACCCCCGATACTTAAGTCTAGTTTAGACAGTGATGCCTTGAGGGTTTTTCAGTGTCTTTCACCACTGTTTCCAAATTATATCCCAGTTTTCACAACCAAAAAGTAATTGTTTCAAATGAGATCTCATGACCATGGGGCTTGTGACCTTCATTTCATTTCCAGATCTCCTGCCTCCTATTTTGACTGATTTTTACTTAAGGATTTCAGATAGAAAATTATTTTACCTTTTTTATGTTTGGGGAGAAAAGTAGCAACATGTCTGTCTTAATCTTTCTTCTTTATCTACAGTTTGGGTTACATTTCTCAAACTGTGGCTGACTTGATTTTTAAATGAAGAAAGCACAGAAAATAAAGTAGGTATTTTTACTAATTAGCTTTGTGACTTCTGACCACTATCCTGCATGTTACTTTAAAATAACAGACACAAAAGAAAAGGTATGAAAAATTATAAGAATAACCAAAAATATTAATATTTAAATTGTCACTTATTTCAGGGCAGTCAAGAATTCAGGGCCTGCTGAAAATATCTGATCTGGCCTTGTTTTACATGGTACTCTGCTAAAACATTTTTCCCTGAGCTAAGACTGTGATGTGGTAGTTGAATGAATAAAAAAAACAAGTCCATTAGAAAACAAAATTATAGTGATGTCATAGGCCTAACTTATGAATAATTTGGGGGACTCAATTTATGGTATGCTCATTAGGAGAGAAAAATCAAACAACTCAAGTTTCCATAATAGCTTTTTGTTTCTCGGCAGGTCTGAAAAATGTACTCTTTACAAAGTAAAAGTGATGTGATGACAACTTTTATCATGATTGTAGATATTATCTATCTTCCCTGATTATGGAAATATTGTAGGGCTAGATCTTAGTTACGTCTAATTCAGGACCATGTGTAGAACATATCTGAAATAGCTATGGTCTGGAGCCATACTCTTCAGTGCTGGATGAACAGAGGTCAGTTATGGTCCAGTGGGCTTGCTCCTTGAAATGAGGGAGCCACGAAGCTTAGTTAGTGCACTGTGTTGTTTGCACCTCATTCACTAAGGTCAAGCCTTCATTGTGTTACAGTGTTCTTCTGTTAGAAAGGCTCCTACTGTACAATCTAGCCAATGCAGATTTCTAATCTGCTTATTTATAATTCAAAAGCTTGCCTATATATTAATGAACCCTTAATGAGCTGTTGAAAATGCGTGAATTACAGTCAGATTATTAAACTCAAACAGCCCCGTAATCATACCATTTGAGTGGGCTTTAGGTACTTTTCACATCTGCAGCTTAGAATTGTGAAGGGTATGCGTTTATTCGGAGAAAGCTTTGTAATAATTTTGACCCGTAATTTATTTATTGCCCTCCGAATGCAGTCGTCTATGCAGATGCTCTCTCCCATTATCTGTGGGGCAGGTGCACAGCATGTTGAAAGACAGCTAATTAGGATTTGCTGAAAGATATGCAAAAATGGTAGGCTTATAACAAAGCCAAGTTCATTGTTAAACAATGTTTTACTGTGTTTGTATGATTTGTCTAAATCTTAGGGATACAGAAATGAATGTTGTGATTATAAGTAGGTTGCAAACAGGGTTTGTTTTTTTTTTAAACTTTATGAGGTTGTGATGACCAAAGAACCTAGATGTAAACCTTTATAAACCTCTGTATGTTTCATCATATATACATTTTGGATTAAAAACAAGTACAATCAAATTTTAAATGATTGTTTTACCATGGTTCAATTTGAAGATATCAAGATCTTTTGATAACCACACAGTCTGATTCATTCTGACCCTTGCAAATTTAGACCCATTAAAATGTTTATAGGTGCCCAGAGGAGTAGGTATTATGACTAAAAGCCAGTGTGACTCTAGGAAGTTAGTAAACTAAGTAATAGTGAGTAGCTAGGTAGGTAGGATGAGGAATAAAATGGTAATTTAAATGTTTTTAAGTAAGAAAATAAATAGAAATATTCAAATTGAAAATAATTTTGGAAACCAGGTATTACTATTTAAAGATCCCATAATCATTACTTTGCTTAATAAAGAAAAGAAACCGATTGACTTTTCAGACTAGTTATGAAAATTCCTTTATTATTGATAGTCTTTTTCATGTTGCCTATTTGCAAAGTGCTTTAGTACTTTTCATCTAAAGAAATACGAGTTTTCTGTCAGGAAATGATTTTTCTGATAAAATTTGATTCACATAATTTATAAAGTAAATACAAAGTATTGCATTAAAACATATTTTCCTGTTCTTGAGGCAAGCACTTAGTGTTGATTTACTGATAATTTTAGAAATAAGATATTTTTCATTATAAGTAAAATGTTACAGTAGTTGACACTATATACTTATAATTGTTTTTATTTGTATCCATGGCTATTGAGCTTATGGATTGCTTCTCATTGGTATGATAATGATGGTTTATATACATATTAAGTATGTATAAAAGTATCATAGATGGCTAATTAGTTTTGTACCTTTTGCATTTCTTCCTAGTGAATTTCCTTCTGTCTCTCTTATGGTGTAATTCCTTGGATATTAGTCATTGAGCTGCTTCTCTTGTTTGCCATACGTTTGCAGGGAAGTGTAATCTTTTTGGCTATGGAAGTTAATCTGCTATTAAAGTACTTCACCACATGTCCATAGGGAAAAGATCAATGTGTTTAACTACAAGGGGAAATCTAGAAACCCAGAGGAAACTTGAAGGTAGATTTAAAAAACACATTTCAGGAGCGGCATCAGTGTCTGTGTAAATACAAAAATCAACAAACACACAAAACTGTGGGCAAAAATTCAGTTTAAAATGGAGAAAATTAAGAAATCCTCAAACAAGAACAAAAAATTAAACAGAAATCAAAGTGCAGCATAAGAGATTGTTCAGTAAGCCCTCATTGCATGCCAAATGCACAAAAAACTTGCTATGTGAACTACAAGCATGTACAGGTCATGAGATTTTGACATTTAACAAAGTGAATTAAAAGAGAGGAAAATTGAAGATTTACATTAACAATACAAACCTAACCAATACATGGCAGTTCTAGAACAATATTAGGCCATCCTTTTTAGTTATAGAAGAAACAGCAAATACATGTTTGCCTATTTTTAATTATCAGCAGTGTGTTGATATGCATTTTATGAGTTATCTTTTTGCTCTCCTAAATGAATATATTGTCTTAGTATATTATAGTTTTCAAACCTTATTTGCCTCTGAATAGACAACAGATATAATTTTAAATGATGATGGGTTAGTTTTATTATCCGGTTGAAATTATTCTGAAGTATAATTTTAAATGAAAGTGACAGCTTTAAAGTGTTTTGGGGAAGAAATTAAAGTTGTGTATCTGAGTTAAGGCAACCAAGAGCTCTGTCATGCCATGGATGTAATTCAGGGCATCTAGGAATGAAATCTGTTCTTTAAAGAATTGATGGTAGCTTTAGGTTAGCATATAAAATCAGAGTTGGTGATCAGTTGAGTACTTGGCAGCTTATAGATGTTATGTCATGTGAGTTACACTAGACACAAAGTGTGTACCACTGTGGATAAACAACAACAGGCACAGACTCAAAAGACAGAATCCAAATACAAACAAGCAAGGTGCCAACTTCCTTTTCCCCCTTCCCCAAGAAGACTTGTAACTAGTGTAGGGAACCTGTTTTTAAGCAGAGTTACAGAGGTTAATTGGGCTGGGATGTTTTAGATTATGTTACACGTTAATGAAAATGCTGATTTTCAGCTGTCATGACTCCAGTGCTTTTTATACCATGATAATTATTTTAAAACTTTGTCTTCTGTGTTGTTGAAAACATCTTGGCAGAAAGCCTGTGTGACCTGATTAAACCTATGAATTGTCAGCTGTGATCTATAGTACTCAGAAGAGGTTGCTGACTGGGCATCACTTAGGAAGTTCTTGATTTAAAAGCAAAATTAGATTGAGACTACTGTACCCAGAACTGTATTGCCATGTCAATGGCACATTTTTAATACTGTATTTAGTATCCTCATTTTATAGTTTGCTAGCAATCACTTAACAATATTCATTTAATAATATATGTATTTAAGTATAGCTAATTGCCTCATAATGTATGTATTCCTCTTCTGAAATCACATGATGGAAAAGCTCATCTAATCTTATTTATTTTTCAATTTTCAATTGCAGTTTGTGAATTATTTTAAGGGAATTTTAATTCTGTTTCTCCAACTGTACAGAGAGACAGAATGACCACCTTTGGATGAGTTTGTTTTATATCCCTGTAATTATTTTCTTTCTTTCTTAAAACCTTCCATTTTTTTACCTTCTTCCCATTTTATGCTTAAATTATCTAAATCTGGGAAGCTTGGATGATTAAAATATTCAAGGAAGCCAGGGTTACCTTTTTCTAAGGGTCTATCTGTGGTAAACTGAGGTGGTTGGGGGATATTTAAAATTCTAGGGTGCATGTAAACATTATCTTGAAAATAATTTTCATACTTATTCAAACTTATTGATCAAATGTGAACAATGAAGTTCTCAGCATGAATTGTAGTACACTGATGTTGTTTGATCATTTTCTCAGATAAACAAAATACTCACACTATTTGTCCTCTGTTTCTCGCTTCTTCTCTCTCTGTCTCTCTCTCTCTTTCCTTGAAGGTCTCAGCATCAGAGGAGCCCAGGAGGAGGACCCTCCCGATCCCCAGCTAATGAGACTGGACAATATGCTTTTGGCAGAAGGGGTTTCAGGTCCTGAGAAAGGTGGGGGATCGGCGGCAGCAGCTGCAGCCGCGGCAGCCTCTGGAGGTTCTTCAGATAACTCTATTGAACACTCAGATTACAGAGCCAAATTGACCCAGATCAGACAAATCTATCACACAGAACTGGAGAAATATGAACAGGTCAGCAGCCGCCACTCTCATAGTCCTACACAAACCCTCTGTTGCTCTTCTATTAGACCATGCTAACCAATTCTGAGGGCTGTGAGGGGTAGGTGTTAACACAAATTACAAAATAAATAAGGTCAATGCAAAAATCCAAGTGAATTGTTGGATTCATGAAATGAAGACCCTTTGAGATTTTGGAGGTGGAGCTCTACCTATTTTATCTCATCTACTTGTTTTAGTTTTATTCATTCCTCACATTCACGTGCCCTTATTACCACACCTGCAGTCATTCTTCCCTCTCACCTCACCACTTGGTGCTCTTCAAAGCTCTGTATAATTAACATTTATGCACTAGCCTTGTTCATAAGCTTTAATCACTTTTGAAGGGAAGCATTGCACAGTGAGCTTTTCCCTCCTATGCTGTGAGCTCCAGAATCCTCCTGGAATTAATTCTTATGGATTGTGCCAGACTATAGGGAACTTCACCAAGTAAGCAGGTTCTGGCCTGTTTCTCTGAGTATGAGACTTCCCAAGATAATTATGGGTACCCCAGGACAGGGAGTGTTAGGCAAGGCATTATGTGCTAAATTCCTGATTAGAAAGAGAATATGGGTTAAAAATCCAGTTCTCAGCAATTATATTAACCATACTGAATCTAAGGTAACTTTGATTTTAAGTTGCATCATTATTTTATGTACCACCAAGAAAAAATTAATACTGCTAGTTTAACTATAAAATATTACTATTATAGAATGCTTTCACATTTCAGAGATGTTAAAATGTAGGGAAAAACAAGTGAGTCTTAGACTTAATGTAATAAAGTAAAATATTGGTGGGTCTTTTTTACACATATTTTAGTTACTAGTTTAATGCTGAAAAGCTGTCAAGTTGGAGGAATTCTCATTTGATAAGATTTGTCATTTGGAAGATAATTTTAAAAACATATTATTATGGAACATTTTATAACACATGTACACAAAAATAATGAGAATAGTATTAGACTGAACCCTATGAAATTGCTAAGTTTTGAGGTCAGAAACAGTTGAATATGGTAATTTCATAGAGTTCAACCCCAAATAAGGAATCAGCTACTTTTTACGCAGATAAAGTTATCAACATTTTGCCACTCTTATTTTGTGTACCCAGCCCCAATTTGGTAGAGTATTTTAAAGCAAGTCTTAGACATCCTATAATTTCACCCATGAGTATTTCACTATGTAGGCAAGTACTTTTTAAAGTCCACACACTTTAGTGTGAAATGGGAGTCCTGGTGAGTTTTGTGTGTGTTTGTGTGTGTTTTAAAGACTTTTTTAAAGAGCAGTTTTAAGTTCACAAGACCAATTTGAGAGGAAAGAAGAGAGATATCACGTATACCCGCTTTCCTCACACATGCATAGTCTCTCCCATTATCAGCATCCCCTACCAGAGGGGTTCATTTGTTAAAATTGATTAACCTACATTGACACATCATTATCACCCAAAATCCATAGTTTACATTAGGGTTTACTCTTGGTATTGTGCACTCTATGGATTTGGATAAATTTATGATGGCACGTACCCATCATTATAGGCTCATACAGAGTATTTTCACTGCCCTAAAGATCCTCTGTGCTATTCATCCCTCTCTTTTATTCTTTCCTCCCCACTGATCCCTGGCAACCCCTGATCAGTTTTAATACTGATTTTTTTTCCTCTATGTTCCTTGTATAGTTTCAGTTGAATATGTCGTTGTATTTTTTTCACATTGCCTTTTCTAATATTCTGGATACAATGGTTTTAAGCAAATGCTGAATCCTATCCCAGAGGTGAGTGTGTTTTGAGGGAGAGTAGAAAAATTTGTATATCTTTTAAGTTAAACTGTAATGTAAATTAATATATTATAAGATGTTTTCTATTTTTGGAATAGGATTTTCTGGGATCTAAAACTGTATGTCTAGTCTCATTTGTAAGAATAACTTTTGGTGGAAAATGTACAAATAAGAATTTTGGAAAAATTATCGTGTGTATGTATGTATGTAAAAAAAAATCCCACTTTCTGATTTGACATATGAATAATTGAGAGTAAACAAAATAAGTCATGGTTGAAAAGGTTGCCCCTGAGCATAAACAGTAGAAAATGACTCTTATTTGTAGTATATTCCTAATTGTATAACTTTATGCTAAAATAACCATACCTACTTACTAGATAAACATCACCAGTCACCTTGCATGGAAAGAGATATAATATTAGAGGCCAAATGGCCCGAGTTTTTTGGCTGAGGAATTACTACCTCCTGCCATGTGTCTTCACACCTGCCTCCTTACTTCTCCATACAACCCTGGTGGAAGTTGTGTGAAGCTGGTGTCAGTCAATGACAAGGTCCTGAGTCTCATTGTTTTAGAAATATCCTACAAAATTTTCCATGAGATTTTAGGTAACTTTAGCCCCAGCTGATAACAGCATCAAATCACCAGAGTTTTTTGTTGTTGTTTTGTTTTGTTTTGGCTTTTAAAATATACATGTATATGCATGTTCTTCATACATTTATCTCTTTTTTTTTAATTGAAGATCAAATTGGGAAGCACTGAGTTTAAAAATGTATTCAGGAATTATTTCTGGATATAATCAGTAGCCTAATAACAATCTAAATATATAGTTCCTTTTTTGTTTTAATACTTCAGATGGAAAAATAGAGATACATAAAATCTGTACAGTAGGGACAAATGAATAGATGGGGTATGATGACTAGTTGGCAGATTCAGCAGAATTTTAATTTACAAATTTTCTCCTGTAGGTTTGGAATTGTTTTAGAAGTGATGTAGCAGCATTTAATTCTTTTAAGTTGTCTTGGGGGCTGGTTTTTATAGCTCTTGTGACTGTTGTTCTCCTAAATTATTAGGATCGGTGCATTTTGACCCAAAACGGTCAACTTTTCCTTTCAATTCTTTAGGGTACAAGGGCTTTATCTGGATGGTCCTTTCAGAGACATGCTTTGGTGTTACAAGAAGGGCTAAACAGAGCTAAGAAGGAATAGGACTTCTAAAATAAATAGTATTGTAATTTCCATTTTATAGAGGAGAAAATGAGACTCAGAGAGGGTAAGTGATTTGTCCAATGTCGCACATCTAGTTAGTGTCAGAATCAGATGTTGAAATCAGTTTCTGAAAATATGTCTTCCTTTTTCATTGAATTGTGCTGTTACCCATGTAGAACTGGAAAATAATTCAGGTACATTCTGGTTTTCTCTGATTTTCCCATGTTGGTTTGCATTTGAAATGGGAATCGAGCAGATGGAAAAACAACTTTTTTTTTTTTTTTTTTTTTTTTAAGACAGAGGCTCACTCTGTCGCCCAGGCTGGAGTGCAGTGGTGCGATCTCAGCTCACTGCAACCTCTACCTCCCAGGTTCAAGCGATTCTCCTGCCTCAGCTTCCTGATCAGGTAGCTGGGATTACAGGTACCCACCACCACACCTGTCTAATTTTTTTTTTTTTTTTTTTTTGTATTTTTGGTAGAGACAGGGTTTCACCATCTTGGCCAGGCTGGTCTTGAACTCCTGACCTCATGATCCACCTGGTGTGGACTCCCAAAGTGCTGGGATTACAGGTGTGAGCCACCATGCCCAGCCAAAAACAACTATTTTAATCACTTTCCAGAAATTATATTTTTCCTCCTAAAAGTGAACATGGGTACTCTGAGTAACAGAAAGCTTAATAGTAAATAGGAAGAACATATATGTTAAGACAAAGGCTTCAACAGAAAATTGTGTTGAGTCTTTTAGAAATAAACTACATTGGAATCTTAAGAGTTATTCACTCTACTGTGTTTCACAATGAAGCTGTAATGAAAATGTATCTGAAGCCTGTTTAGATTTAGATTGCCATAAAATTAACAAACATCACCACTGCAGTAAATTAAAGTACCTCATAAGCACAGCCACATTTACAAAGCTAAGCAGACAGACTAGAGCTACAGTTTGAGCAAAATTAAATCCAAGCTGCAAGGCTCAGTTTTATGTATATGTTTTAGAGATGGTATTGTCTTCAAAATCCTTTTTTCCCTCCAGAAAATTGTTCTTTTATCATATGTCTCTATTACATAGGCTCAGATTTAATGATTCTTGATGATAACCATCTAAAAATTCACTTATAAACACTTTTGAAATATTAGGCATGGGATATATGTTAGGGTAAGGTTCTTGAATATTACTGCCACCCAAAAGGAAACAAAACTATTTTATTTTCTTCTTGTTGATTCTAACACCCAGCAGGAATATGAAAATTTTCCAAAGCTTGCGGCAAACTGTCCTGTAATACTTCATCTTGGGTACAGTGCCTCGCTTTTTAGCTAAGAGACAAACCTAGTTGCTTCTCTGTCTTCTTGTTGATTAGCTACAGCTTTTGAAAAATGCCTTTACTGTACCTTGCAAATATGTTCTTATGGTTAAAGGACCACTGTTAGAATAGGTGAGTTCCTAGAACTTAAGCCAAGGTTCCTGGGAAGCCTTGTTTTTAAGAAGTACAAGACTTCTATTGAACTGGTCTTTCTTGGTTCCTCCACCACCCTACCAAAAGGAAATGGACACATTGGTTTTTGCAAATGAAATTTGACTTCAAGATTTCTTCTCAGTTAAAAAGGAAAAGATATATAATGCTCTATGCAGCTCTCCCACTTTGCTTGTACCAGAAGAAATGCTTGTACACAGGCAATTCACTCATAATTTATAGCTGCTATAATAGAGATGACATATTGAAAGCTATCTACTATAATTATATTGAAATACATTTTTTGCTGAAGGCAAAAGTGTTGTCAGGGTCCCAACCCTTCCCAAGCATCTGGGAACCTGCTTTCTGAGTTCACAGACGTCATTTGAACTCACCCCAAATCAGGCAAAAAGCACTAGAACCAAGGAATACACTGAATGTGCTCAGGACCAATCAGGTAGCATTTGGCTACCAGAGGACTTACAGATTGCAGGGGGAATGGAGAATGGGTGAAAATGTAAACCACTGTAAAAGCATGTCCTTGTGCTTTTT